TGAGAGGCTGAAGGGGTGGTCACTTGAGGCCAGGAGTTCGAAACTAGCCTGGCCAACATGACGAAACCCCGTCTCTACTGAAAATACTAAAAAATGAACCGGGCGTGGTGACACATGCCTGAGATTTCAGCTACTTGGGAGGCTGAGGCATGAGAATCACTTAAACCGGGTGGCAGAGGTTGCAGTGAGCTATTACGCATCTGCCGTCCAGCCTGGGCAACAGACTTAGACTCTGAGGGGGGGGGACTGCAAGGGAGCAGAAATGCTATCCTCAAAAATGTGGACTAATCCGTTTCCAGATGGCCCCAGAGGTCACAGCTGGAACCAGTGGCATGGATACTATTAGAGAGGCAGAGGCAGATTTTAACTCCACAAAAGGAAAAACACAAAGCCATCTCCATGAGGGTAAAAAGTACCTCCCACGGGAAGTGTGTTAGTCTATTCTCAAATTGCTATAAAGAAATACCTGGGGCGGGGGGGCGGGGAGGAAAGCAATACATGAGACTGGGTAATTTATAAAGAAAATAGGTTTAATTGGCTTATGGTTCTGCAGGCTGTACAGGCAGCATAGTGACTTCTGCTTCTGAGGAGGCTTCAGGAAGCTTCTGATCATGGCAGAAGGCAAAATGGGAGCAGGTGTCTTACACGGCAGGGGCAGGAGCAAGAGACAGCAAGGTGGGTGTGCTGCACACTTTTAAACAACAGATTTCATGAGAACATGCTCACTGTCACGAGAGCAGCCTCAAGAGGATGAGGCTAAACCATGCATGAGACACCACCCCCATGAGCCAATCACCTCCTACCAGGCCCCACCTCCAATACTGGGGATTCCAGTTTGGCATGAGATTTGGTGAGGACACAGAGCCAAACCGTCTCATTCAGCCCTTGGCCTCCCAAATGTCGTGTCCTGCTCACAGTGCAAAACACAATCATCCGTTCTCAATAGTCCCTCCAAATTTTAACTCATTCTAACATCAACTCAAAAGCCCACGGTCCAAAATCTCATCTGAGACAAGGCAAGTCCCTTCTGCCTATGAGCCTATACCATCAAAAACAAGTTGTTTACTTCGAAGATAAAATGGGAGTGTAGGCATTAGGTATACACTCCTATTCCAGAATGGAGAAGCCAGGCAAAAGGTAGGGACTACGGGCCTCATGCAAGTCCAGAACCCAGCAGGGCAGTCATTCAATCTTAAAGCTCCAAAATAATCTCCTTTGACTCCATGTCCCATATCCAAGGCACACTGATGCAAGGGGTGGGCTCCCAAGGCCTGGGGCAGGCCCAACCCTGCTGCCTTGCAAGGTCCAGCCCCTGCGGCTGCTCTCAAGGGCTGGTATTGAGTGGCTGTGGCTTTTCCAGGGGTACGGTACAAACTGTTAGTGCGTCTACCGTTCTGAGAACTACAGGATGATGGCCCTTTTCTCACAGCTTCACTAGGCAGTGCCCCAGTGGGGACTCTGTGCAGGGGCTCCAAGCCCACATTTCTCCTCCACACTGTCCTGGTAGAAGTTCTTGCCAGGCGCGGTGGCTGACGCCTGTAATCCCAGCACTTTGGGAGGCCGAGGTGGGTGGATCACGAGGTCAAGAGATCGAGACCATCCTGGTCAACATGGTGAAACCCCGTCTCTACTAAAAATACAAAAAATTTGCTGGGCATGGTGGCGCATGCCTGTAATCCCAGCTACTCAGGAGGCTGAGGCAGAATTGCCTGAACCCAGGAGGCGGAGGTTGCAGTGAGCCGAGATCGCGCCATTGCACTCCAGCCTGGGTAACAAGAGCGAAACTCCGTCTCAAAAAGAAAAAAAGAAAAAAAAAGAAGTTCTCCGTGAGGGCTCCACCCTTGCAGCAGGTTTCTGCCTGGACATCCAGGCTTTCCGTACATCCTCTGAAATCTAGGCAGAGGCTCCTAAGCCTCAACTTCTAAACTCTGTGCACCCACAGGCTTAACACCACGTGGAAGCCACCAAAGCTTCTAAGCTTGCACTTTCTGAAGAAGTGGTCCAAGCTGTAATTGTACCATAACCCTTCGATCCATGGCTGGAGGTGGCACAACTGAAATGCGGGGAGCAATAGCCCAAGGTCGTGTAGGGCAGCGGGGTCCTGGGCCTGGCCCACAAAACCATCCTGTCCTCCTAGCCCTCCAGGACGTAAGTCTCTGAAAGGACTTCAAGACCTTTTCCCCATTGTCTTGGCTATTAGCACTTGGCTCCTTTTTACTTATGCAAATTTCTGCAGCCTTCTTGAGGTCAGGAGTTCGAGATCAGCCTGACTAATGTGGTAAAACCCATCTCTACTAAAATTACAAAAATTAGCCAGGCGTGCCAGCAGGTCCCTGTAATCCCAGCTACTCGGGAGGCTGAGGCAGGAGTATCACTTGAACCTGGGAGGCAGAGGTTGCAGTGAGCCAAGATCGTACCACTGCACTCCAGCCTGGGCAACAGAGAGAGGCTGTATCGCAAAAAACAAAACAAAACAAAAAACCCAGATTTCACAAGAACTCACTCACTATCACAAGAACAGCACAAGAAGATACTGCTAAGCCATTCATAAGAAACCACCCCTATGATCCAATCACCTCCCATTAGGCCCTACCTCTGATACCGGGGAGTACAGTTTAACATGAGATTTGGTGAGGACACATACCCAAACCATATCAGCAAGTATTTAAACAGGATACCTGACCGTTTAGCAAGAAAATGCTACTGTTAAGTGTCAGGGGAAGGTTCTCAAACTCCTGGTCATAATAGTGAGTATTGAAATCCATTTAGAGGAACTTTTAAAATAAACAGAATATATTTATTTATTTTATTATTTATTTACTTACTGAGACAGACTCTCACTGTGTCACCCAGGCTTCAATGCAGTGGCGCAATCTGCTCACTGCAGCCTCTGCCTCCCAGGTTCAAGCGATTCTCCTGCCTCAGCCTCCCAAGTAGCTGGGCCTATAGGCACCCACCATCATGCCCAGCTAATTTTGTGTATTATTAGTAGAGATGGGTTTTCACCATGTTTGCCAGTCTGGTCTCGAACTCCTGACCTCAAATGATCCACCCACCTCAGCCTCCCAAAGTGCTGGGATTACAGGCATGAGCCACCGTGCCCAGCCAGAATATAATTTTTAAAAACATCAGAATATGTCACATGTAATAGTCTAAGGATTGTTTACTGGGACTTTTTTCTTTACATGTGTGTGTGCCTGTATCCTGGGGTTATGATGTAAAATATAATTCTTACTGCAAGTCATGGTCAAAAAAGTTTGAAACATACTTCACTGGATGAGCATCAAAGCACCTTCCAGCACCCACTCTGTGAAAGAGGTCCGAACTGTGAGTCAGAAGACCCAAGTCCTCCCTCGGCCTTGTAATAACAAGGCGTCAGCCCTCTGCGAACCCCAGTTTCCCATTTATGCAATGACAGTGAAAATTATTTACAACTTTAGATAGAGTGGTCAAAGTCTAAAGGCCTTCCAATTCCAGAATTTTGTGTCCTAAGAACATCCTTTCATTCAGCAAATACTGCTCGAGCAGGGCTTTCAATGTACCAGGCACTGTTCTAGGTGTGGGGATACAGGAATGAACAAAACAGACCAAAAAACAGCACTACCGCTCATGGAGCTTATATTCTAATAAGGGTAGACAGTAAAATAAGTTGAACCATGACAAATGTTAGCAAAACATTACCATAGCAAAAGTGATAAGAAGAAAAACTGGCCGGGCGCGGTGGCTCACGCCTGTAATCCCAGCACTTTGGGAGGTTGAGGCAGGTGGATCACGAGATCAAGAGATCGAGACCATCCTGGTCAACATGGTGAAACACCGTCTCTACTAAAAAATACAAAACATTAGCTGGGCATGGTGGCGTGTGCCTGTAATCCCAGCTACTCAGGAGGCTGAGGCAGGAGAATTGCCTGAACCCAGGAGGCGGAGGTTGCGGTGAGCCGAGATCGCACCATTGCACTCCAGCCTGGGTAACAAGAGCGAAACTCCGTCTCAAAAAAAAAAGAAGAAGAAAAACTAAGCAGAGACAACAGGTAGAAGATATCAGAGAGAGAGAAGGATGAAATTCTAGACAGTGGTCAAGACATTCTCACAGAAAAGGTGTTTTTTGAGTAAAGAGCCGACATAAATGAGGGCACTAACCATGTGGATATCTGGCCAAGGGCATCCCCAAAGAAGGAAACAGCAAAAGCAAAAGGCTGTGAGGTGGGAACATGCCTGGCATGTTCCTAGCACAGCAGGGAGGCCGGGGTAGCCGGAGTAGGGGCGCAAAGGCAGTAGAAGATGAAGTCAGCAAGGTAACAGGGGCATGGGTGAGAAGAGTTCTTTAGAGCTGCTTCCCATTTCTTTTGTAAGCTGTGGGCAATAATGCCTATCTTCACATAATTATGAGCATCAAGTGAGCTGGGAATGTGCTCCCAGAACTGAGAGATCCTGCTCGGCTAGGAAGGGCTTACCATTTTGCGAATTAAAGTAAATGGGGTAAGTCAGTGACCATGAGAGAATGCCAGCTCTCTCTCTCAGAGACTCCCTGGCCAGTGTAGGGCAGGTCGTTTCTGAAACAGCAGATCTCTTGTGATAGTGAGTTCTACAAGATCTGGTTGATTAAAAACGCGTAGCACTGGCTGGGCGCAGTGTCCACGCCTGTAATCCCAGCACTTTGGAAGGCCCAGCTGGGTGGATCGCCTGAAGTCAGAAGATAGAGACCAGCCGGGCCAACGTGGTGAAACCGTATCTCTACTAAAAATACACAAAAAAATTATCCGGGCATAGTGATGCATGCCTGTGATCCCAGCTACTCGGGAGGCTGAGGCAGGAGAATCACTTGAAGCCGGGAGGTGGAGCTTGTGGTGAGCCAAGATCACGCCACTGCACTCCAGCCTGGGCAACAGAGCAAGACTCCACCTTAAAAATAAAAATAAAAATAAATGTGCAGTACCTCTCACCTCTCTCAGCAGTGGTTGCTCTGTCAAGAGACTAAGAATATCTTGCTTTCAATTTAGAAATTCCATCACCCAAAGCTAAGTAGTCTTCATCGGGAGAACTTCATCTGGAATCTGAAAAATGTTCCTCTTCTGGAGAAATACCTGTATGCCCTGGGCCAGAATCGAAACCGAGAGATCGTTGAGGAGGTCATTCAACTGTTCAAGGAGGAAGTAATGAGCAAATTAAGTCATTTTCGAGAATGTGAGTATTCTCCCAATTAAATATTTTTCTTGATATTTAAATTGTCAAATTTCACCTCATCAGAAAAGTATGGAGGTACAATTTAGCTTTATCAAATCTTAAAATTTTTGCCATATTTGCTCCTATTGCTTTTTAAAGAATAATATTTTTACTTTTCTCAAAATTGCTACATTGAAGCCTCCTCTAAACTTTACAGGAGTCTACCTCTCTTCTTCCCATTAAATTTGCACACTACCTATGTATGATTTATAAATTAGGTATATAAGCAAAAAAAAAAAAAAAAGAAGAAAAGAAAAAGAAAGAAAAAAACAAAAAGAAAAAAGAAAAAAACCCACAAAAACAAAAAAAGAAAAAAATAATAAATTAGGTTTAGTAGGGGTTTGTGTTTTTCAAACTTTCTATCAATGGTATTACACTGTGTATTATTATTCTGCAACCTGGTTTTTTATTCAACGTGTTTTGCAGATGGATCCATATGAGTATTTGTGGTTTTGCAGATTGATCCATATGAGTATTTGTGGTTTTAGTTCATGAGTTTAAATACTAAATTGTATTTCATAGTATGAATATGCCATAATTTATTGGCATGTACTACAATTTTTTGGACTATTCTCTTGTTAATGGAATTTTAGGTTACTTCCCATTACTTTGCTACATAAATGATGCTGCAGTGAACACTCTAGTACAGGGGTCCCCAAACCCCAGGAACTGGGCCACACAGCAGGAGGGGAGCAGCCAGCAAGCATTACTGCCTGAGCTCCGCCTCCTGTCAGAGCAGCAGCGGGCATTCCATTCTCATAGGAGCACCAACCCTACTGTGACCAGCGCATGCAAGGGATCTCAGTGAGAATCTGACGCCTGATGATCGGAGGTAGAAGAGTTTTATCCCAAAACCATCCTTCCCCCGTCTCCTGTTCATGGAAAATCGTCTTCCATGAAACCAGTCCCTGGTGCCAAAAAGGCTGAGAACCGCTGCTCTCGTACATATCTCCCTGTGTATACAGACAAGGTTTGCTCTAGGGTATATATCAGATATAACCAGCCTTTTCATCCAGCATTAAGTACTGGTCAAAGGCAAGGGACTGGCGGCATGGTGGTTCATGCCTATAATCCCAGCACTTTGGGAGGCCAAGGCGATGGATCACTTGAGGTCAGGAGTTTGAGACCAGCCTGGCCAACGTGATGAAACCTCATCTCTATTAAAAATACAAAAACTAGCTGGACATGGTGGCGCGTGCCTGTAATGTCAGCTACTTGGGAGGCTGAGACAGAAGAATCCCTTGAACCCTGGAGATGGAGGTAAGTTACAGTGAGCCAAGATTATGCCACTGCACTCCAGCCTGGGCAACAGAGCAAAATCCATCTAAAAAAAAAAAAGGGGCACGGAACTGAAGGGCATTTCTAGCAAGGCCTAAGATAGGCCTTAGTATTTACTTACTTTGTGTAAACACAATGTAAGGTGTAGTGCAGGCGTCCCGAAACTACGGCCATTTATCTGGCCCCCTGCCGCACTTCAGGAAGGGGCACCTCTTTCATTGGTGGTCAGTGAGAGGAGCACAGTATGAGGCGGCCCTCCAATGGTCTGAGGGACAGTGAACTGGCCCCGTGTGTAAAAAGTTTGGGGACGCCTGGTGTAGTGTGAAAAGAGATTTTTTTTCCCCTTCAAACCTGTGTTTCCCCCAGTCTTCTTCGTCTCATTAAAATGGTATCCACCATTCACCTAATTAATCTGGACAAAAAGTTAGGCGTCATCAGGTTCCACTTTGCTCATTCTCTCACATCACAAATCCAATCCAATTCTATCCATTCTTACTTCGTAGGAGATCCTATCACCTGGATGATTGCAGCGGCCATGTAACTCCCTGCTCCTACTCTACCTCTCCACAGTATATATTCACTTGTCTTCCCTTTTCTTATTTTTTTTTCTCAATACTACTTTTGTAAGTTCTTCATGTCATTGCATATGGCTCGAGTTGGTTAACTTTTACTTTAATTTCTTTTCTTTTCTTTTTTTTAATAAAGACGGGGTTTCACCATGTTGGTCAGGCTGGTCTTGAACTCCCGACCTCAGGTGATCCGCCCGCCGTGGCCTCCACAGTGCTTGGATTACAGGCGTGAGCCACTATGCCCAACCTAGCTGGTTAACTTTTATAACTTTAAAATATTGTATTCACGAATATACCACACATTATTCTACTCTTAAAAGATACTTGGGTTCTTTCTGATTTGGGGCTATTAAGAACAGTGGTGCTGTGAATGTGTCTGAGTGTCCGTACACACGTTCATTAGTCTTTGAGTGTTTACCTTGGGGTAAGATTGCTAGGTCATAGCACATGTCCATATTCAGCTTTACTGGATAATACCAACATTTTCAAAAGTGGTTCTGTGAATTTATACTACAGCTAGCAGAGGGTAAAAGTTTTTATTGTTCTACACCCCTGGTGTTGTCAAACTTCTAAAATTTTCTCAATCTGATTTGTACATACTGGTTTATCATTACATCATGGTTTTAAAACACATCTCCCTGGCAGGGCACGGTGGCTCACGCCTGTAATCCCCGCACTTTGGAAGGCTGAGGCCGGCGGATCAGCTGCGATCAGGAGTTCAAGACCAGCCTGACCAACGTGTTGAAACTCGTCTCTACTAAAAATACAAAATTTAGCCAGGCATGGTGGCTAACGCCTGTAATCCTAGCTACTCGGGAGGCTAAGGCAGGAGAATCGCTTGAACCCAGGACGCAGAGGTTACAGTGAGCTGAGATCCTGCCATTGTACTCCAGCCTGGGCAACAAGAGCAAAACTTCGTCTTAAAAATAAAAATACATTTCCCGGCCAGGCACGGTGGCTCAAGCCTGTAATCCCAGCACTTTGGGAGGCCGAGGCAGGTGGATCATGAGGTCAAGAGATCGAGACCATCCTGGTCAACATGGTGAAACCCCGTCTCTACTAAAAATACAAAAAAAAGTTAGCTGGGCATGGTGGCGTGTGCCTGTAATCCCAGCTACTCAGGAGGCTGAGGCAGGAGAATTGCCTGAACCCAGGAGGCAGAGGTTGCGGTGAGCCGAGATCGCGCCATTGCACTCCAGCCTGGGTAACAAGAGCGAAACTCCGTCTAAAAAAAAAAAAAAAAAAATACATTTCCCTATTTGCTGGCCATTTGACATATATTCTTGAGGAGTGCCAAATCAAGTCTTTGGCCTGTTTTTCTATTGAAATTATTTTTTTCTCATTGATTTGTAGAAGTGTTAAATATATTCTGGATATGAGTCCTTTGCTAGTTATATGTGCTACAAGCATTCTGTCCCATTCTGTGGCTTATCTTTTCATGGTATGGTATGTTTGGATGTATAATTTTAAATTTTTTTTTTTCTTTTTGGGGCAGAGTCTTGCTCTGTCACCCAGGCTGGAGTGCAGTGGTGTGATCACAGCTCACTGCTGCAGCCTCCACTTCCTGGGCCCAAGCGATCCTCCCATCTCAGCCTCCTAAGCAGCTGGGACTACCACCATGCACCATCGTGCATGGTGAATATTTTTATTTTTGTAGAGACAGCGTCTCTCTGTGTTGTTCTGACTGGTCTCAAACTCCTGGGCTCAAGCAATCCTGCTGCTTTGGCTTCCCAAAGCACTAAGATTACATGAGCAACCACACCAGGCCCCTGCTATTTTTTACAGCTTTATTAAGATGTAATTCACACACCATGAAATTCACCCAGCCTTCCTCCCTTCCTTCCTCTCTCCCTCCCTCCCTCCTCTCTCTCTCTTTCTTTGTTTCACTAAAGTCTCACTCTGTCACCCCCACTGGAGTGCAGTGGTGCAATCTCTGCTCACTGCAACTTTCACTTCCTGGGTTCAAATGATTCTGCTGCCTCAGCCACCCGAGTAGCTGTGACCACAGCCATGTGCCACCATGCCTGGCTACTTTTTTTTGTACTATTACTCATGGGTATTTAGAAGTATAAATTCTGTTCCCCAAAATATGAACTTTTTTGGTTATATTTTATTGTTGATGTCTACTGTAATTACATTGTGATCAGAGAATATACTTTATATTAGTGCTGTCCAGTAGGATTTTTTTCAATGAAGGAAATGTTCTGTATCTGCATTGTTCAATTCAATAGCTCCTACGTGGCTATGAGCATTTGAAATGTGGCTAGTGCTACTAAGGAATAGGACTTTCAATTTTATTTAATCTTACTAAAAATTTTTTTTTTTTTTTTTTTTTTTTTTTTTGTAGCTGACTACAGGCATGCATCACTATGCCCAGCAAATGTTTTATTTTTTTGTAGAGATGGAGTCTCACTATGTTGCCCAGGCTTGTCTCAAACTCCTGGCTGCAAGCAATCTTCCCACATCAGCCTCTGAAAGTACTGGGATCACAGGCATAAGCCAATGCATTCAGCTTGAATCCTTTTTTTTTTTTTTTTAAGACAGAGTCTCACTCTGTTGCCCGGGCTGGAGTGCAGTGGCATGGTCTCCGCTCACTGCAACCTCCGCCTCCTGGGTTCAAGTGATTCTTATGCCTCAGCCTCCCTAGTAGCTGGGATTATAGGCATGAGCCACTGTGCCCAGCCAAGTTTTGCCTTATATATATTTGAAACAATTGTATAATATATCCCAATTTCAGAAATAGGTAGTTTAAAATCTATGATGTACAATAATAGTTTCTATGTGCCACTTACTATGTTACATTGCTTAAGCATGATTTACACACTCCTAAATCATGCAGAAGTCAGCATTATATTTAAAAGTTAAAATTAGATATCTTTTTTTTTTTTTTTTTTTTGAGATGGAGTTTCACTCTTGTTACCCAGGCTGGAGTGCAATGGCGCATCTCGGCTCACCGCAGCCTCCGCCTCCTGGGTTCAGACAATTCTCCTGCCTCAGCCTCCTGAGTAGCTGGGATTACAGGCACGTGCCACCATGCCCAGCTAATTTTTTTTTGTATTTTTAGTAGAGACGGGGTTTCACCATGTTGACCAGGATGGTCTTGATCTCTTGACCTCGTGATCCACCCGCCTCGGCCTCCCAAAGTGCTGGGATTACAGGCTTGAGCCACTGCGCCCAGCTACCGTAAAGTTTTCTAAACACTCTTCACTCTGTTCTTATCTCATGCAGACTAGTAACATTTTGTAGAGTAGCACTGGCCACAGACCCCAGCAGTCAGTACTTTGCGTAGTACTGACTTAAAATATCACCCTTATTTCAATAACTAAAAAACAGGAAATTTAGAATTATCATGTTATCCGAAAAGTTTTGTTTAAAATCCTAGGTGAGGCCGGTCACGGAGGCTCAGGCATGTAATCCCAGCACTTTGGGAGGCTGAGGCAGGTAGATCATTTGAGGTCAGGAGTTCAAGACCAGCCTGGCCAACATGGTGAAACTCCATCTCTACTAAAAATACAAAAATCAGCTGGGTGTGTTGGGTACCCGCCTGTAATCCAGCTACTCAGGAAGCTGAGGCAGGGGAATTGCTTGAACCCAGGAGACAGAGGTTGCAGTGAGCCAAGACTGTGCCGCAGCACTCCAGCTGGGCAACAGAGTGAGACTCTGTCTCAAAAAAATAAAAATTAAAAAAATAAAATAAAATCCTAGATGAAAATAAAGGTAAATCTGGTCCATTCTAGGACTCTTTGCTTCTTCTAATAATATGAATATGTTTCTATTCTTTTTAAACGTCTCAGGATGTGAGCAGTTCTTTTCCCTTTACTCTTCTAATAGCCAAAATCAGGTATTTGCAGTGACTGCAGTCTACATCTTCTGGCCTTGTACTGATGAGAAGCAAAACCAAAACAATCCCAAATTAACTGCTTTTATTCTTTTCAGAGGAAATTATTTTATTTCAAGAAAAATTGGGCCTGGCCCTTTATTTCTGACTGCCCTTTACCTCTGACCCCTTATCATATTATCTGAATGGTTTTGCCTGTGAAAGAGAAACAGAAGGGGAGTAAACTGGGATAGTCAATAACTGTTTTTACATGGTTTTCTACTTTCAGGTATCAATCATGGAGACCTCAATGACCACAATATTTTAATGGAGTCCCGCAAGTCAGCCTCTGGCGATGCTGAGTATCAGGTGTCTGGTATTTTAGATTTCGATGACATGAGCTACGGCTACTATGTGTTTGAAGTGGCAATCACCATCATGTACATGATGATTGAAAGCAAGAGTTCTATACAAGTGGGAGGTCACGTCCTTGCAGGGTTTGAAAGCGTCATCCCACTGACAGCTGTAGAGAGGAGTGCCTTGTTTTTACTGGTCTGCAGTCGTTTTTGTCAGTCGCTTGTCATGGCCGCATACTCTTGCCAGCTATACCCAGAGAACAAAGACTATCTCATGGTTACTGCAAAAACTGGCTGGAAACACTTACAGCGAATGTTGGACATGGGTCAGAAAGCTGTAGAAACAATCTGGTTTGAAACTGCCAAATCCTATGAATCTGGGATCTGCATGTGACTGAGATCTCCACGTGACTAAAAGTTCCCTCTAAGTAGGGTAATTAAAATAGGACCAAATCAAATTTTAGGAAGGATTTTGCTGCACAGTTAAAAATCAGTTGATGGAATGGATCAGTTCTGACTAAGGGCGCATGAAACCCCTAAGAACTTCAAGCAATCTCATGATGGTTTTTTTTTTTTTTTTGAGACGGAGTTTCGCTCCTGTTACCCAGGCTGGAGTGCAATGGCGCGATCTCGGCTCACCGCAACCTCCGCCTCCTGGGTTCAGGCAATTCTCCTGCCTCAGCCTCCTGAGTAGCTGGGATTACAGGCACACGCCACCACGCCCAGCTAACTTTTTGTATTTTTAGTAGACACGGGGTTTCACCATGTTGACCAGGATGGTCTCGATCTCTTGACCTCGTGATCCACCCGCCTCGGCCTCCCAAAGTGCTGGGATTACAGGCGTGAGCCACCACGCCCGGCCAAGTCATGATGGTTTTTTAAAACTCACCAAAGTACCACGATCAAGCATATTTTTCTGAGAGGCTCACTTGCCATGTCTATAAAACACGCATAATGATACCATTTTGAATCAAATTATCTTCCAAGATCTATCTGTTCCAGCCCTGAGATTAATGACTTTTTTAAACTTTAAAAATGATATATATTAGGCCGGGCATGGTGGCTCAAGCCTGTAATCCCAGCACTTTGGGAGGCCGAGGCGGGTGGATCACGAGGTCAAGAGATCGAGACCATCCTGGTCAACATGGTGAAACCCTGTCTCTACTAAAAATAGTAAAAAAATTAGCTGGGCATGGTGGTGCGTGCCTGTAATCCCAGCTACTCGGGAGGCTGAGGCAGGAGAATTGCCTGAACCCAGGAGGCAGAGGTTGCGGTGAGCCGAGATCGTGCCATTGCACTCCAGCCTGGGTAACGAGCGAAACTCCGTCTCAAAAAAAAAAAAAAAAGATATATATTTATAGATAGATCTAGTGACATATTTTAAATATCCGGACATAACATACTGATCTAACTAACATAGTCAGTTCTATGAAACCTCCTCTCGTCTCTCCTTTCTCTAGAATCCCAGGGCACTGTGTCTTTTTCACGGCCCATCACTTCATATAACGGATCGTCGTCGTGCGGTCATCTTGCCCGAGAGCCGTTTGAGGGCAGAGACCATGTGAAACTTAACTTTTGTCTCCTCATCCCTTCTTATCACACTTGCTACTGTAGTGCCTTTCCCATGGAGAGCTCTTTAAAAAGATCTGAAAATAAATGTGTGCTAGAAGAAAGGATGGGGAAGGCACACATGAAGATGCTGAAGGAGAAAGCACAGACAGCATTAGGAAAATTCTTGACTTGTTTGAGGGGCAGTTGAAAGTAGAACTCCAGAGGCAGGTGCCACAAGACCCTGGAACTGCAAGGAAGCAAATAATGACATCCAGGCAAGGCCACTAACCCCTGAGCTACCTAAATATAATGGTTACTTTCAGACTGATACTAGGAACCTCCTTAAGCACAGATTTTTTTTTTATTTTTATTTTTATTATTATTTTTTTTTTTGAGACGGAGTTTCGCTCCTGTTACCCAGGCTGGAGTGCAATGGCGCGATCTCGGCTCACCGCAACCTCTGCCTCCTGGGTTCAGGCAATTCTCCTGCCTCAGCCTCCTGAGTAGCTGGGATTACAGGCACGCGCCACCATGCCCAGCTAATTTTTTTTGTGTTTTTAGTAGAGATGGGGTTTCACCTTGTTGACCAGGATGGTCTTGATCTCTTGACCTCGTGATCCACCCGCCTCGGCCTCCCAAAGTGCTGGGATTACAGGCTCGAGCCACCGCGCCCAGCCCAAGCACAGATTGTTAAATTCTCTGTTATGTGCTTATTTTGTATGACTGTGAAGTAGATTGGGTAGACTAAAGCTCACTGTATACTTGGCTCAAGTTATTTCACTGTGTTTCCGTCACTGATTTCTGTTCATGTCTCCTTTAGCATGATTTAGTAAATGGCTGTTTACTATTCTTTTTTTTTTTTTTTTTTTTTTTTTTTTTTTTTTTTTGAGATGGAGACTTGCTCTGTTGCCCAGGCTGGAATACAGTGGTGTGATCTTGGCTCACTACAACCTCTGCCTCCCAGGTTCAAGTGATTCTCCTGCATCAACCTCCCGAGTAGCTGGGATTATGGGTACCCACCACCATGCCTGGCTAATGTTTATACTTTTAGTAGAGATGGGATTTCACCATGTTGGCCAGGCTGGTCTTGAACTCCTGACCTCATGATTCACTTGCCTCGGCCTCCCAAAGTGCTGGGATTACAGGCGTGAGCTACCGTGCCCGGCTGGCTGTTTACTATTCTTATGGTTTCAACTACTCGTTTTCTACAGAGAACTCAAGTCTAGAACCCTGGCTATTCCCTCTCAATAGTTCTCTCTCTATATATGAACAGGCGCTGACTCTGTCTCCATCTGTGTGTCTACCTACCTATTATCTACCTAGTCTTCCCAAACTAGATGTTTCTCTGAATTGTCTTATAAGGTTCATTTTTCACTTCTTTATCCCTCATTTTCTTTTTTTTTTTTTTTTTTGAGGCAGGGTTTCACTGCAGCCTCAACCTCCTGGGCTCAGTTGATCCTCCCACCTCAGCCTCCCTAGTGGTTGGGACTTCAGGCATGTGCCACCATGCCCAGCTAATTCTTTAACTTTTTGTGGAGATTGGGGTTATACCTATCTCACAGAATTAATTGAGTTTACTGTGAAGATTTCACAAGAGAATAGTGCCAAGGGCTTAGCGCAGTGCATGGCACATAGTTAGGACTCAGTAAATATTTACTCAATAATGAAGCATATTCCAGGTTACCCAAACTCAGAATATTAGAGTAATTTTTTGCTTGCCTCTCTTATATTCAGTAAGCCTTACTGATTTTTAGAATCATCAAATTTTAGAAATCTGTCTTTCCTGGATTTTTTTTTGTTTGGGGTTTTTTGGTTTGCTTTTTTGAGACAGGTTTGCTGTCACCTAGGCTGGAGTGCAGTGGTATGATCACAGCTCACTGCACCTCTATCTCCTGGGCTCAAGCAATCCTCCCACCTCAGCCTCTTGAGTAGCTGGGACTACAGGCATGTGCCACCATGCCTAGCTAATTATTTTTGTAGAGATAGGGTCTCACTATGTTGCCCAGGCTGGTCTCAAACCCCTGAACTCAAGCAATCTTCCTGCCTCAGTCTCCCTAAACGCTAGGATTACAGGCATGAGCTATCGTACCTGGCCTGTGTTGTTTTTAACAATATATGAAAAAAACCAACATTTATTCGGCACTGAAGTATTTTACCCACATTAGCTCACTTAATTTTTACAGCAAACCCATGAGAGAAGTGCTGTTACAATTCATCCGGATTTTCAGATAAGGAAATAGCAGCTGAAAAAGTAAAAATAATTTGCTCAAAGAGAGCCAGGGCTTAAATCAGGTCTTTCCGATGCAGACCATGCTCTCCACCACCACAAAGTTCCATGCTACTTTCTCACCCTTTCCTGTCCCTGCTACACACACACACACACACACACACACACGCACGCACACACGCACATGCACACATGCACACACACACACTAGGAGGAACAAATGAGATCATTCACACGAAAGCACTTTCATGTCTCAGATTTAAGGGATTGTGGTTTTTATCTAGGTTGACCATTCAAGCTAAAAACTGGGGACCAGAAAAATGGACTGAAGCTTGGGTTTCACTTCCAGAGCAGTGTTCATCCTCAAAACTGATGAAACTCTATAGACTTCCCTCTTGATTGCCCCTGCTCACATGGATATTCCCAGTGCAAATACTCCCGACCACAGTTTTGATGTCTACATGCTGCCTTACACTGATATTTTACTACCCGGTGTGTGTTCTAACTTGTGTCCAATCAGTCAATTTCATGTGGTTTACATAAACTCTGGTGGCTGTGATGGTTCGTTTTAGGTGTCAACTTGCCTGATTACGGGAAACGGAGATAGGTAGTTACAGTATTATTCCTGAGCATGACTGTGCAGAAGTTTCCAGAAGAGACTGGCATTTCAATCAGCAGCTGAGTAAGGAAGATCCCCCTCACCAATGTGGGTGGACACCATCCAATCTGTTGAGGGCCTGGATAGAAAAACAAAAAAAAACAAAGGAAAGATGGATTCGGTCTCTCACAGGACAGCCATCTTCCCTTGCCCTCGGATATCAAAACTCCAGGTTCTTGGTCTTCAAACTCCGGGACTTAACCAGCGGCCCCTCAGGGTCTCAGGTAGTCAGCCTCAGTCTGAGAGTTACACCATCCACTCCTCTGGTTCTCAAGCCTTTAGACTCAGACTGAAACACGTCACTGGCCTCACTGGTTCTTCAGTTTACAGACAGCATACCTGGGGACAGCTGAACCTCCATAACTTATTTCCAAAATAAATCCCCTCCTGTTTATCTACCTATCCATCCATCCATCCCACCGATTCCGTTTCTCTGGAAAACCCTAAGACGATGCATGAATTAAATATTTCTTTGACTTTACCTTCAGGACCCAGCACCATGCCCCTAGAAGACCCAGTAAAGATGTGTTGAATAAACTGTAAGAATGAACACACCACTACAAGTGGACAAGGACAAGGGCACACCTGGTCCTCCCAAACAACGTGGAGAAAACCCAGTTCCAGATTCAGGAAGTGATACCATATGTCTGGCAAAGACTCTTTACTCTTGCAAGTGTCTTCTTCTGTCCAGACTTTTAACCCCTCCAGACTACAACAGCACTTGACTCTCTAGTGTTCTTAGTCGCCCTAACCTCTGCACTTCAGGTTATAAGGCAGATAAAAACTCTGGTTACTCATGTCTATAATCCCAGCACTTTGGGAGGCCAAGGTGGGCGGATCACAAGGTCAAAAGATTGAGACTATCCTGGCCAACATGGTGAAACCCTGTGTCTACTAAAAATACAAAAATTAGCCAAGCATGGTGGCATGCCTGTAGTCCCAGCTACTCAGGAGGCTAAGGCAGGAGAATCGCTTGAAACCGCAAGGCGGAGGTTGCAGTGATCCGAGCTCATGCCGCTGCACTCCAGCCTGGCAACAGAGCGAAACTCTGTATCAAAGAAAAAAAACAAAAAAACAAAACAAAACAAAACAAAAAACTCTCATTACATATATTGCTGTGTGATGACCAAAAA